AAAAAAAAGCATGAAGTGGTAGAAATGTCTGTATTGTCAGATTTTATGTCCGAAAACCATATACCTCCAACAGAATGAAATAATGGAATTAGGTACTTTTGGTAATGTTTTTATAGTTAAAATTATCAAATAACTTTATTTTGGCTAAAAACAAATATTTCTTTGACCTATAATAACATTTCTTATTTTATTAATGCAGTTTTACTTATTTTAAGTATTAAAATGACTGTTTGGATATAGCACAATGTGCTTATATCTGGTTTTTGCTTTATAAAATCCTTTGTAAATAGTGAAAACCACATGGTGGAATTTCTAGAATAGGTGGAGACCTTTAAAAACATTCTATTTCCTGAGCCAAAATTCCATCATAATACTTGAATATCTGGACCTCTCCTGCCAAAAATAATAATAATAATAACCACAATGTATTTTCCATGCTTTCATGCTCATGCAATAAAACATTACAGCTTCAATTCTGGATCTGTTGTATTTGCTGTTAAGTTTTTTTATCTCTTTTATTTCTATATATATTTGAGTGCTTGGAAGTCGCTAAAATAGCTTCAAAGATAATGAGACTAGATCTTTTTAAATGCATATTAATGTAGAACTAACCAAAGAGAGACTATAGTCCCCTTGTCCCCTTGTACCTTCCCAACAGTAACCTAAATAAATAAAAAGGGTAGAAGAGAAAGTGCATGGTTTGTCGATGGATTTTATTTTCAAGTTGAGAAATGCGGCCTTTCAATATGTAGACACATTTAATGCAGTGTTGACTTGTGATTACTGCCAGGAGACCTACAGTACTCTTCAGACAACAGATCAGACCACAGCGCTCTTGTTTTGTTCTGATCCCTTCCTTGCAGTAATCTTTTGGCAAGTGGTTAAATGAAGCCCTGCCCAGATAACACTACCCTCTAATGAGCTCTAGTGGTCTCATGGTAAGGAGCTGTGCTGCCAATCCAGAGGCACGTGGTTCAAGTCCACCAGCTGCTGTGCTGGAAAAAGATGGGCAACCACTTCGCAGTGTGTGATTTACTACCTCTGAAAACCTGCTGGAGGATTGGGTATGAGTGTAAAAGCAACAACAGCATGGGGAAGGCTAAATCCTGCCTCTGTTAACTCCACAAAGGATCACTGTCCATAACAACAACATCCACAATATAAAACTGAATCCTGTAAGAGCAGATGTGGCTCCCACACTCCTGCACCTACTTCTGCTGATTGATTATATTGTTGTTGATGATTGCCATCAAATAGAGCACAATTCATTGCGACCCTGGATCTAAAATTGGTAGCAAATGACCAACAGACTCTATAGAATCTCTCTTCTTATTTATGAGGTTTATTAGAGAAATAGGTTGGGAGGTAGGGGAGACAAAGGATATCACATAGTGAAAGTCAAGGTTTATGAACAGCAGTCCCAAGCCAGATTAACAGCAAGACACAATTCCTCAATTAGTTCAGACACCTTCCCCATTAGTTCAGACACCTTCCCTTTAAGTTAAAGTCAAAGTTCAGACCAGCAACACAAATGCAAGAAGGCTTTGGTTTCCTTGATCATCCAGCAAGCTTTGTCTCATTGCAATCACAAGTCAGCTCTTATTCAGTGGTCCAGCCAAGCAAAACCTTTAACACTGGCTCCAACTCCCATGCTCTGTCAGATTATACATTGCCACAGTCTCTCTACAGTATAGCTAGCACAATCTCTTATGTTGACCTCATAGCTGTTGATGATGATGTGGAAAATACTGATCAAAAGTGAACTATGTGTCCACAATTGAGGCAGCTGGAGAGCACCACCCCCACGGGAGCTAAGGGTGGTGGGTGGAACCTCAAAGATTTCTTTTACTTGGACATTCTCACCTCGACATGTGGTCAAGTCTAAGGCAATGGATAGAAAAGTAAAAAAATCCTTAACACCACAATGAGTCCATTCCAGCACAACAGCATGTAACAGCAACTTCTGAAAAAGCTCAACCAGAATATTCTGAGTTTAAAACACCACAACCCCTACTCTTGGTGCTAGGTGCCATCTAATTGTCTCCACCTCATAACAACCACATGTACACTACCCAGTCCTGCACCATTATCAACAATTGTTGCTGTGCTTGGGCCCATTGTTGCAACTGTTGTGTCACTCCATCTTTTTGAGAGTCTTCCTCTTTTTTTGTTGACACCTCTATTTTACCATGTTTGATGGCTTTCTCCAAGGATTGACGCCTCCTCATAACATGCCAAAAGTGTGTAAAACAAAGTCTCACCACTGTCCTCATTTATAAGGAACATTCTGGCTACACTTATGCCAAGACAGATTTGTTTGTTCTTTTGGCAATCCATGGTATATTCAGTATTCTTTGCCAATACCACAATCCAAAGTCATCAGTTATTCTTTGGTCTTTTGGTCTTCCTGTGCATATCAAGCAATTTAAAATACTGTTGGATTTGGTCCTCAAAACTGACCCTCCTGTTCTTTATTACCTTAAAGAGATGCTTTGCCGTAGATTTGACAAGTGCAATATGTCATTTGATTTCTTGACTGATACTTCAAACATTTTTATTTTCTTGACATTGAAAGACAATCCACACTGAAGGCTACAATCTTTGATCAGCAGCAAGTGCCTAAAATCTTTCTCACTTTCAGCAAGCAAGAATCTGTCATCTTCATAGTAAAGATTATTGATGAGTCTTCCTCCAATCCTGATGCCACATTCTTCTTCATTGAGTCCAGCTGCTCAAATAATTTGCTCAGAGTACAGATTGCATCTCAATGTCCTAAAACCAAATTCTCACCATTGGACTGATAGACAGCATCATGATGGATATAGAAAAGTTTGAAACCATCCATTACTTCATCTTGCTTGGATCCACAATCAATACACTTATAAATAGCAGTCAGGAGATCAAGAGACATACTACACTGGGAAAGTCTGCAGTGAGGGACCTCTCCATATACATTATTAAGGAGCAGTGATGTTAGCTTGAGGACTAAGCTATACCTGATTCAGGTCATGGTCCTTTGAATCCTTTGCCGTGCTGCTAAGAACTAGACATTAAGGATGATAAAAGAAGAATTAATGCCTTTGAACTGTGGAGAAAAGTACTCAGTATCAAATGGACTGCCAAAAAACCCCAGCTATGTCTTGGAGAATGTGCATCCAGAGTTTTCCTTGATAAAGCTTCATCTCACACTTTGGGCATGTTGCTAGGAGAGGCTATTCCTTGGAAGCGACATCCTTCTTGGGAAGGTGGGGGAATGGCGGTAGATTGACATGCCTGCAGCAGTGGGCTCAAGTGTTGTCAGAGATTGTGAGCATGACACTGGATAGCATAGGGTTCCAATCTGTTGTTCACAGGATTGCTATGAGTCATACTCAACTCAGTGGCACCTAACAATTTCAAACACTGATTATAGACTTAAGGAAAATTTAATCCTTGAAAACTTCAGTCTTTTCTTTCTTTGTTATGATGTTTATTGATCCAGTTGTGAAGGTCTTTTATTTTCTTATGTTGTGGTACAATCCGTACTGACCACTATCTCATCTTTGAGCTTCAAGTAAGAGCTTCAAACCTTCCTTTTTAGCAAGCAGAATCATATATTTTATATAAAAATATATATCTAGGGTTGATAATGAGTCTTTCTCCAATCCTGATGCTGCATTCTTATTTACATAATACAGTTTATCAGATGTTTCCTCAGCATACATATTTCATAGGTATGGTGAAAGGACACAGCCCTTATTCAAACCTTTCTTGAGTTTAAATTATGCAATACCATTGTTTTCTGTCCAAATGACTGCTTCTTGATCTGTTGTCTGTGAGCACAGTTAAGGGTTCTGGACACAATTAAGTGTTCTGGAATCCCCATTCTTCACAATCTTATCTATAATTAGTTGTGATCCATGAAGTTCAGTGCTTTTGCATAGTTAATAAAACACAAGTAAACATCTTTCTGGTATTAATTTCAGCCAAAATCCATCAATGAATCTTGTTATCTGCAATGATAACAGTTGTTCTATGTCCCCCTCTGAGTCCAGCATGAATCTAATCATTCCTTGCCATTTTGCTGCTAGTACTGCAGCCATTTCTAATTGTCTTCAGCATAAATTTCCTTCCATGTGATATTAATGGTGTATATCAGTAAATTTCACCTATGGCCTAACAATTCCACTCCTTGGTAAATATCCAAAAGACTTAAAAACCAAGACTTAGATACTTACATAGGAGATGTTCATTGCAGTACTATTATCAGCAGCCAAAAGGTGAAACCAACCTAAATGTCCATCAGTTAGTAGATGGATGGAAAAAAAGGTACACTGGAATTCTACTCAGCTGATGAGAACAATAAAGTCTTGACACATTCTGTAAAATTGAGACACCATGAAGACATGCTTCATGAAATAAGTTAATCATGAAAGGAAGAAGTATTATATGACCTCACTTATACGAAAAGTTAAGAAAAGACAAATATATAGAGAGATCAAAGTTTGTTGATGGCTACCAGGGGCAAGAGGGAAGGGGACAGGGATTATTGCTTATTATGGAGAACTGAATTTCTGTTGACAGTGATGGGAAAATCACATTGATTAAGAATAAAGTTACACAGGTGAGTAATGTAATTATTGTCAATAAGTTGTATGTTTATAAAAAGTTCAATTGACCAAAAAACATTGCCATTGAATCCCCTCTGACTCATGATGACCCCAAGTGCATCATAGTAGAGCTGTACTTGATGGGTATTTGAAAAGCACATTGCTGGGTTTCATCTTCCGACCTCTGGGTTGGTAGGTGAGCACTTAACCATCTGTACCACCCATGAACTCTTAAGTATGAAACTCATGAGTAAAAATGAAAATAAGTTTGTGGGAAAATTGGGTTGGTAGACTTCTGTTTTCACAAATATTTAATTGTTTCCCTTTTCTCTTAAGTTATTTTCTCTCTTACGTGAAGTTGAGGCTTACTGAGGAATATGAGTACTAAGTATTATTTCTTTTTTGTTTTAGGTAAAACTTTAGTCAAGAAGCTGACAAAAAAGGTAAGCAAAGCATGTCTGCATGTGTTTGTTTGTGTGTGTATTTTTCTTTTTTGGTAAGAGGAAAACGAGCTTTTACAAGTTAAATTGAAATTTTTAATATGTGTATTCAAAGGAGATCGAGGATGTATTGGCAGGAATCCAAAAAGCTGGTTGTGGACCAACCTTTTTTAGAGACCTTGGTGATAAAGGTAATTTTTATTTTTTTTTAAGTTTCTACTTACACTTTTTATTTAACAGGCATATAATTAAGAAACTATGGTGTGAGCTTTGCAATTGTATATTAGCAAATACAGGATAGTGTATGTACTTAGAGACTGGTGTGAAGTTTTATTTTCTAATAGATGTTTTTATTTTT